CCTCAAGCTCCTGTGCAAGATACTCAAGAAGCGTCGCATGATTATCGTCGCACGATTTCCGAAGCTGTGCTTTCTGTAGCTCATTGTGCTTCAGTGCCGTTTCGAAGCGTAGTGCTGTTGAGTGACATGTTTTGTCAGGTAAGCTTGAGCGCTGCTTGCTTTCCTCTTGGCAGTCTGTCTCACTGGCCTGAAACTGCTCAGCTTCCGCTCTGTATGTCATCATCTCCGAGTTGAGTTGGGATGTCAAGACGTGTGTACCTTGTTTGGCGAAGGCTAACCGCCTCGCATGCTTTGCGTCCGCATGATGGGCCTCGAGACATACTGGCTTCGGTATAGATAGCGTCCATCAAAATACGGTACTTGGTTTCAGCTTCTGCTTCTGCTGCATTCTTCAAAGTCCAGTCATTGATGAAAACATTGATCTGCTGGCTCTCTTGGAGAAGCTGCATAAAGTAGTTCTGTGCGGTTGTACCCTGGTTGTCGTTGTTGGGAGTGCCAGTGCTGGGTACCATCGCCATTGAGCTACCTACGGCTGATAACCTGCAGTTTCAGGTATCACCTACTACAACTAGCCACGCCACCCCCCCGCCTACCAACCACCTGGCGCCTCAATCCACCACCGTCATCGATCATCATCATCATCATCATCCTTCATCATGCATCATCATCACCATCATCATACAAGAGGGTCTTGTGGAGATATTGTTCGGGGTTCTGTGTACCAATGTCGTCATCATCCCCCCCACCCCCCCCCCAAATCCGAAGCCGAATTTATCACAGTCGCGGAGNNATTTTGAGGCAAGAAGAAGTGGTATGACAGGACGAACGTACCGTAAAACCGAGTAAAACCAACGTGCTCTTAAGAGGGTTGGCAGCAGAGGTGGTTGGGTGGGCGCCTACAACTAGAATAACTAGAATCGGTTAAGTCCGCTCCGGTGGACCGTTTTGTTCCATGGGGACTTGGGCCGCAGTAGTTTTCGTTGCGGACAAGAAAAGTAGTACTGGAGACAATTTCGGAATTCAAGACTTGAGAAATAATACCAGTTGCTTTCGGTCCGAAACCTTAGGTTTCAATGCAAAATCGAAAAGCACTGAACTCACTGATCATGGTTCATTTTCGACACAATCCTGGCGTTTCCTACAATTACCCTGCTATTTCCTTAATACATGGGAACAATGGGAGACAATGGGATTAACATAGGATGTCTGGGCGAAAACCCTGGGCTTCGATGCACATATCGAAAAGCACCAACAACTGTTCCGGATTTTCCGGCTCCCTAAGGTATTCAATTTTTTCACAGAAGATACATATTTCGAACCACTTATTCTCAGGCCTCTCGACAAGTCTTACTCGTGGATAAGAATCTAAGGAAGCATTCCGAATAGAACAAGGAATGGTAGCTCGAAGGCAGGCGGGCAGGACCTAAGCCTCTCAATGTATAATTGACCCCCACATTGGCGGAACAGCAAGGCGCACGGCCCATCAAGGCAATTGGACGAGAAATCAAGCGCCTGATCGGAAGGCAAAGCAGCACGCAGAAAAGCCAGAACACTCCAATGCTAGAGATGCCTATCGACCATGATTCACCGGGGTATGCACGGCATCAATGCCTCGCTCCCTCCCATCTTTCTGCCGTGGTTGTTTGCGACATATTGCTGCTGATAATGTCCATCATATCATAAGATCTAGAGCAAAAGAAGAGGACCTCCCTCATTCCAAGCACAGCGCGTCAGTTATTTCTGAGTATAGTTATTTCTGGTTTCAATGCAGAAGCGGAAGATGTCAGCCGTGGTACATGGTGCCGGTTTGCAAATGCGAACAGCCAGTATCCAGTTCTTGCGCTCAGTCCCCGCACGGAGAGGTGTTGCCTCGGCCGTTGCCATGACACAACCCTGTGGACCCAACCGGCGACATGTTAACGCTCAGCCTTGATGCCTCAAACACTCCAGGAACTTCTGCATGGGGTCACCCCAGAAATGGCTGATGAACCTGAGGTTTACACACGTGCCGGTGGCCTTTCCTGCGTGCGCCGCACTGTCTCTTCATGCCAGGCCAGAACATGCACAAGAAGAAAGGTGGTTGCAGACAGGGTAAAGCGCTAAGCAAACAGAATATGCGCAGAGTTGCGCAAACAGGCGTAGGCATTCAAGGCAAAAAGCGATAGACATGATAGGGCTGTGCAACGCAGACGTCAGAGTTTCAAAGCAGACATTGTAAGCAGCCTCGGACAGGAACAGCACAAAGCCGTAGCAGCAGAACACAAACACGACGCCCGGGACATGGACTTGGGCAGAGCTTTGCAAACAGGATCGGATATGCAATGTGCAATGCGTGCTCGACAAACAGGACAAGGGCAGAGTTGAAAAGCAACGTTGCAGGCGGGCTTGGACAAAAGGCACAAAGCCAAGACGACCACAAGCAGAACAGCACATGTTGTAAACAGGCTTGGAAGGAAATGTAAACAACACATGTAACACACACACACATACGGACAAGATGGGCCAAGACGCAAATCAGACGTTGCAACCAGGCTAAACACCCGAGCAGAAAGCAAACACGACACAAGATGGATGCATAGTTGCAAATCAACGCTGCAATCACGCACAGGCGAACTGCACCAAGCGGACATGATAAGGTTTTCCAACAGCTGGCACAAACGCACGAACACGATGGCTGAACCGCGTGCGATACCAACGGAAATCCTGCTTTCAACTGCCAGCTGCTACAAGTAACAGCTAAGCCAGCTCGTATGCTTACACCATCTTACACCTCTTGCAGACCATTGCCAGCGTTCCCTTGCAGGCTCTATATACGATGCAGGTATGTCAACTTGCGCACCAAGCTGATACCACAGGAAAGAAGAAAGTCTTCGTTCGTCCCAACCTTCTGCAATCCCTTGCTTTTCTTAGGTGCGGCTTGACTTTAATGTCATCGTAGGGTGGCAGCTTGGCATTTCGATCTGCCCTAATGCTAGACTGGACCGTGAAACCCCTTTGAAGACTGCGAGTGCAACATGCGTAATGTTCAGGAGCGAAGCCAGTTCGGAACCAACTTTCTCTCGGAGAGGTGCTCCATCATGGAACTGTTGAATTCCCTCGCCAGCAGGGTGGTGCAACATCATGCATGCGTCCCGATGCATGCAAAATGCCAGGCCAGGCTATGCATTCGTTTGCTACTGGCCTCGTTGCTGGCTTCACGATCCACTCATGGATGTTGTGAAAATCAAGTGCAGTCGCGGTCAAACCCCAGCTGTAGCACTGCCGTACCTTACGTATGCAAACATGCTCGCATTATGCCCAAGTCTAAATAGACACCCTCAGTACGCACTCTGCAGGCAAGCTGCTGCATAACTATTGATCTGCATGAGCTGTGGCATGTTTATGCTGCGGTTCTCAAGTCCCTCGACGTAAGCTTGAAATTTGAAGTGCTTGCCGACCTGGGAAGCACAAAATATGTGTCGGATGGCCAGGCTAGACCCTAAAGTCGCCGTCAAAACAATGACTCAGCCGAGCGCCATCTTCACATTACTGCCTTGGCCATGCACGTGTCATGCACCGACTCTGCTTTCCAGGTGGTTTAGTATGCAAAGCTAGTGATGTCGGTGCCCGTGCCGAGGCCACTCTAGTTTCTCCAGCGATATGGTGATTGACCGCATTTGAGGCCAGGTGTCCGGACCAATGCAGCTGCTGTGTTGTTTCCCAGTTGTCTGAACTCACCACCGGACCTAGCTTCTTGATGCTTCTTGTACAGCAAGTACAGCCATTGACAATGTCTGAAGGACAGTCTGTCCCCAGTCCTCTCGGCGCACATTACTTGCATACTCTTTTCGCTCGGGCACACTATACACTTCATGCAGGCAATTTACTCTATATGCATCTATTATATATATATATGTCTGGATGATGCAGAATGTTCCTCGCGGTTGTGTTTGAAAGACTTACGTACCCGCGCGTAGGGAAGCGTTGCCTCCTCGCACGGTGCTGCAAAGCTCGGGGAAGCGTTGTAGAATACTGGACATTCCGTAGGGTCTGAAGTTTGCGCATGCGGGTTGTGGAACATGGTCTGTCTGTTGATCAGCTAGTTTCGGGCCCACGGATCTCACTACATTGAGGCTAATCTCATCTGCACTGTTCGGACAGCAGTCATCCCGGGCAACGGACGGCCAAGGTTTGTGGTTACGATGCCTGTAGCCGTGACGTTTGAACACCTGAATTGCGCCTTGCAAGCCAAGGGTCGTCCCATGGGCCCCGAGGCCGGCGATGAGTATCGCTGGAACTCAAGCCGAACGGGAGCTGGCATCATCCTCATTTGTATGGCTTCGGGTGTATTTCGTTTGTTTGAATCTGGCTTTGCTGTCAAAGCTTCGACAACGACTCCGTTCTCGAGAGCGCTTGCGACTTCAGAGTACCTCGTCCGGCTTGAGCATGTCTACTTTCAACTGCCTGCAGAAGCACGGCCTGCGGGTCGTCTTTCGGCTCGATCCGCCCGGCTGCTCGGCCGCAGCTTCGGCATGCTGTGAGATCGGTTCATTGGTTTCAAGACAAGGTGTGGGGCTTGAGGAGTAGCTTACTGCAGCCGATGCACGGCGGCAACGGCTGCACTGCAGTGCGCACTGTGAGTTGCACCAGCTCAGGGGTAGTACGGTGTTCTGATTTCTGAAAGGACAGCATCTGGCAAGCTGGGGAACGAGCCAAAGAACATCAACGGAACTTTCATGACCAATAAGCTAGCTCTGAGTGACCGGTGCTGTCATTGCCGGGGTGTTGGCCAAAAGTGACCGCATGAGTGCCGCGGCCCTGCAGCTACCCAAGGTTGACGGAATGCGACCCTACCCTGCGATGCACGGGCAGGCAACAGCCGTGGCGCGAGCAACCGTGCCAGTTGGCTCGACTCTTGATGAAAGGAAACCTTTCTTGGCGAGGACAACGCTTTTGCGAGTGAGGTCCTACCAGGCCTGCAACTTCTGACCCATGCCTTTCGTCAAAAGGCTTGCCCAACCTTACCAAAAGGGAGGTGTGCCCTGGTTGGAGTCCTTCCCTGCTTCCTGAGCCACTCCGCCCTGGCTCAGGTGGCACCGTGGCTCAGCTAAAGCGCCGAGCCTGCAGCTGATGAGCAAGCAGCGCAAGGCATGAGAATGCTCTAAGAAGCTAAATGAACTAACTATCCACGGTATGGACTTTTGCCGGCAATCCGTCGGACACAGTAGCTGCAAGCCATCAAGATTCTGCACCCTCCTAGCTCGAAGCTGCTGCGTGTCATCTGCGTAATCGTCTTGGTAACTTTGAAAGTCGCCCAACTCATCCCTAGACTTGTACTGGAGGCCTGCCTGGACAATGCTTGAAGAGCTGATGCAATACCTTTCCATGACAACACCGAGCTCATCGAGCTCTGAACAAGTTTGCAAACAGCACAGGCAAGCTGTTCTCCGAAGGATCCGAGGCAGATACCGGCTGGTCCCAGAACCTCTTGCGAAAACGACAGCACTCAACGTCCATGCTCAACAGCCCTCAAATGACAGTAAAACATCGGCCTGCGACTGTGACAAAGCTTCCTCTGCCAGTGCTGACAGGAGCTCGGAGCCTTCAAAAGAGGGGGACAAATGCAATGCTTCCCTGGGCAGCGTGGCTTCACCTAATGCACCAGTACGGCCCGAGCCCCACTCGCCAGATCTTGCCATCATCTGTCGCAAGGCAAGAAAAACTGACGCTCAATCAGAGACATGGTTTGGGAACAGCACAACCCTCCCTCCGGCGGAGTTCGTCCGTCTTTCGCAGGGAGGGTTGGTGGTGTTGGGAGATGTGTTGCCTATTTGGGCGGGCCTTACGGTTGAGGGAGTCTGTGCCTCGAGGCTCATTTCAACTGCAGAGGCTATGGTGTTGGTGCCGTGTTGTGTGACTGTGCAAGTTGGACCCCGCTCAAGTCCCCCAAAGGTTCCCGTGAAACATTGCTTCCTGCCGTCATAGTTTTCCAAAGCTCTCTTCGTCGCGAGCGTTCCAGGGCTGCTAGGCAACCCTTGCAAATAATTTCAGCATGGAAGTTGCTATCGCAGAAGTTCGAAACCGTGCGCTGTGATTGTCTGTACCATGCAGTCCGAGCTATTACGACGAAGTGCCGGCAGAGAGGATGGGCCTCCAGCAATTCAACCAGGCGAGCAGGCTGCACTCCAATCGGTGCTTTCTGACACAACAAGACTTGGAGGACCACCTGGCCAAACGGCAGAATCAAAGACATTCTACTAGAAGTGGATCAGAAAAAGCCTTGGTATCGTTCAGGAGCTCGGAGAGACTCGAATCTGCAGTCGATCGGTACTGTGCATACCCATTGCAAGAGTGCTGGGACAATCTGGGATGCCTGATTCCACTTGCTGCAACGCCTGATGTTGAGGTGAAGACTATGCACTTGGGTGGAATGCTCAGCCAAGTAGACGTTCCAGGCGCTGCGCGAGTAGCAGCTCAAAAAGGTCGGGGTGGTGATGTCCGTGGCCATCGACTGCCTGATGGGCAAAACCCTGCAGGGCAGGCTTGCGTCCAAAAGTCATTCGTGTTTGCGTGCTTTGAATGCGAGGCCTCTGCCAGCAGAGTTTGGAGAAATTTCTGAAGGGAGCGCCCCTTTCACGAAGCAACGATATTTTCTTAACCTAACCAGGGCTGTGCAATTGGGTCGGACACTGGATATGCCTCCTCGTGTATCATGCCTGCATCGGTGGCTGCCTCCCATGCTGAGCAGCTCGATCGTCGTGGCACTACGATGCACCGGTATGTAGCTGTGCTTGTCGACATCTTCGATTTTGCGAGGCGAGCACGACAAACAAGCCAAGCGAACAATCGCAGGTAGCCAGGAAAAGGAATGCTGCTTGCACATCGTGGCTTCAGACACGAGGCGACATTCCCCTGGCACCGGTGCTTGAAAATCGGTCCTCCCTGAGAAGGGTGAGGCCTGCAAATCCAACAAGTGCTAGCCAATAATTCTGGTCGACATGCTGTTGCAGTCTGTCAGTCTTTACGTGAGGCTTGCTCCTAGCCATTCGTTGTCGGTTGCAGACTGCAAAAGCTCAAGGTGTTCGCTTCCCGAGAAGCTACAGCATCTAGGAAACCAGTTCTGGACATAGACGTGCAACTTATGAGAAGTCTCCCCTCGGCACAATCATCGACTTTTGGACCCTGACAATGGCCGCCGACCATTCCGAACTACTAAGTTGCAGGGGCAGGACGGAAGCCTGCTTTCTGCCAGAAGCAATTGTTCTTTGACTGATGTGCCTGTACAGTTCATGGTCGGGCGTCATCATTCACTTCCGCCTCGGTCTCAGCAATACTTAGGCTTGCTGCCAGACCACGGAGACTGAAGCCTGCGCACTTTTACGTCATGGTGAGTCATGCTATAATTGCCACAAAGAACCAATAATAACTTAGGCTCTTCCTCTAACAGTAGCTCTTTACATGGTTCTTGAACAGTTAATTGGGTGATAATTGAACAGTTACTTGGGTGATAATTGAACAGTTATTTGGGTGGTAGTTGAACAGTTAATTGGGTGATAACTGAACAGTTAATCGGTGGTAGCTGAACAGTTACTTGGATGGTAGTTGAACAATTAATTGGGTGGTAGTTGAACAGTTAACTGGGTGGTAGTTGAACAGTTAACTGGGTGGTAGTTGAACAGTTAACTGGGTGGTAGCTACTGGTAGTTGAACAATTACTTTGGGTGGTAGCTAGTGGTAACTGAACAATTAATCGGGTGGCAATTGAACACTGTCTCGGGTGGTAGCTAGTCGTAGCTGCACAACTAAGTGGGTGGTAGTTGAACGGTTAGCTGAACAATTAACCGGGTCGGCTGACTGTTCAGCTACGACCCCAACCAGGCCGGGTTGGAGTCGTAGTGAACAGTCAAGGGCCCCGGTAATTGTTCCGGTACGACCCCCACTGGGCCCTGTTGGGGTCTTAGCTGAACAGTTAACCGGCCCGATTAATTGTTCAGCTACGACCCCAAACCGGCCCGGCAGGGGTCGTAGCTGAACAGTTAAACTGGGGCCCTTAACTGTTCAACTACGACTCCAACCCGGCCTGGTTGGGGTCGTAGCTGAACAGTTAAGGGCCCCAATT